TATTAGGTAGGCAACTTTCAGTGTCTGCCAAATCACCAGCGAGTGTTCAGGCTAAACAAGGAAGAAGCTAATGCCAAAAAGGCAGAGGTGAATATCCAGGTATTTCTGTAATTCCATGCCTCAGACTAAGTGTCCCAGAAACATCTGATCCCAAGTGGCTCCTTCTCCACTGTTTGAGCTGTCAAGATGCCTGGTTAAGTGACTGTTAAATGGCTACTGCCTCCTGCCTCCCACCTCCCAGGAGGCTGCCCTTGAGGTAGGGAGGGAAGTGATCCCACTATCCCTTTGCAGAATCTCTCAGAGAGGTTATGAGGCTGAACAGATTTCTGTTTGAAAGGAGCTTTGAGGCTCTGGCTTGAAAGGTACCACAGAAGTGCAAATGCCTGCAATTCATCGGCCTGCTGAATGGAACAGGAACTGAATTGCTTTAAACTAGAATTTCAGGGTCTATGGCTGGTGTCTGGGATTTGCACAATGGTTTTTTTTGCAAGTACTTTCTTCTGTGAAGGCTCCTTCTGTTCCCTCAGTTCCTCACCCAAGTTAACCCTCAGCACTCTCCTCTCCATCTCCTGCTGGAAGAGGCAAAACTGTGAATTGTCCAGAGTCTGGCTCTCAAACTTTTATCAGCTCTTTCCCTGACCTTTTCTGGTAGTCAACCCTTCTACCATTCAACAGTCTTCCCCTGCCTCATGCCTTTTCTGTTGGGAGAAATTGAACTTCTACCAGCCAGACCCAGGGATTGGCTCCATTGGGACAGGAGGATCATGATGGGACCCACCAAAAAAAACTACCTGGATGGTTTGTTAAAAGTGCATATTCCAGGTGGGCGGATCACGAGGTCAAGAGATTGAGAGCATCCTGGTCAACATGGGTGAAACCCCGTCTCTACTAAAAATAAAAAAATTAGCCAGGAATGGTGGCATGTGCCTGTGGTCCCAGCTACTCAGGAGGCTGAGGCGGAAGAATCACTTGAACCCAGGAGGCAGAGGTTGCAGTGAGCCGAGATTGCGCCACTGCACTCCATCCTGGCGACAGAGCAATACTCCATCTCAATTAAAAAAAAAAAAAAAAGGCACATTCCCAGGCCCAGGCCCAGTCCAGAGCCACTGATGCAGGATGTTCAAGGGTGAGTTTCAGGAGTCTGCATTTTCCCAGGCATGTGAGTGTTTTCTAGAACGTGTTCTCAGTAAAGATTCCCTACACAATGCAGGAATTGTGAACACTCATAGTGTGCCGGGCCCTGCACTGAGTATCTTCCCTTTAAATTCTCATTTTATCTTCTTAGGACCTTAGGAGGTAGCTGTAATTCTCTGCCTTCCTCCATTTTCCAGATGGGGAAACTTGATTGAGGAACTCAGCCAAGATAGGGATCCAGGCTCTACACTAACACTAGCCTGATTGAGTTGCCTCTTTCCCCTCCCTGAAAATTACCATTTTAAAAAGGATTTCAGGGTGAGAATCTGGTGTAATGGATCTGCAGTGGTGATGTCTCTGGCAGCAGAACTGGTGGGAGGCTATTACCCAATGCCGCGGTGTCAGGAAGAGTTAAATCTTTTTGACGATTCAATGGCTCCCTTTAGCTTTACCCAAATGGCACCTGTTGTTGAAGTCAATAGAGCTGACAATTTAATTTCATCTGCTTGCAAACAATCTCTTTCATTAGAGAGTGGAATGATGATAGGATTCTCCCAGCCATGCAGTTTCACTTTCTACAGGAGCAATGTATAAGTACAGTCATTGTTTTTTGCAGAGAGAGAGAGAAAGAGAGAGATTGAGAAAGACAGAGAGAGAGAGAAAGTCATTCCCAACACTGCCTGTTACAAGGAAGTAGGTGTCTGGGTAAAGGGGGGTGGGAATCAGCAGTGAGGATGAGAAGGGATGGGAAGGGGTCAAGCTGCACACGGGGGCTCCTAAGAGACTGCTCAGTCTTTTCTCTCTGTGAGCTGTCAGCTGTCCCCTTGCAGGCTCATCATTATGCTCAACAGACTCTGAATGCCTCCATTATCCAAATCACAAGGAGGTGGCTTTGACATCTATTATAGATGAACTCACAGCATGGACATGAGGGACTCTTTCTCTTTCAACTCTGAGCTAAATGGAACCTTTGGTTCAATAATAAAGGTGATGAAGATAATAATAACTAAGCAATAGCAGTGCTAGTAGTAGTTACCATTTACTCGCTACTGTACTAGGTGCATGGCATACATTTCTACAACTCTGGGAAGTAGGAATCTTGTGTCCATTTTATACAGGAGGAAGCTGAGACAAAGCTAGAAGAGATAACTGTCCAATGTCACATAGCCAGTAAAAGAGAGCTAGGACTGAAACCCAAGTTTGTCTAAATTCAAATGTGTACTTTTCTACCACCCCCATGATACTCATCCTCCAACCGAGTTTCGGTAATGAGATAAAGGGTGCATCATTTTCTGTGGATCAGAACCATTTCCATGACAACCATGAAACATTACTTGTTACGTCCAGAGTATTGAAGGTATTTAGAGACTCCCTTCTTTTTTCCCCAGGGAATTTTTGAGAGAAATTGGCAGGAGGATACTGTTAAGAGATTTCATTTTATTTTATGAGTTATTGGTGATAGAGTGTACGTGTGTGTTTGCATGTTCTGGCAATACTGGTGTCTGGTGTGTGTGACCTGTTTTTTATTAAAGTTATAGCTTTTGCAGGGAGACGGGGTTATTACTGGTGCTTTGGGAAAGCAGGTGTCAATGCTGGAATGACTCCGGCATGTGGAAGGTGATTTCTAGTTCTTTGTCCAAGAGATGTACACGCTAATACGAAAAATACTTTCTTCTTTGCAGGCTAAGTAATGAAAGATTATACTAGCTCTGTGATTGCAAAAGGCAAATACAAGTACAGACATGGCCCTGGGAGGCAGACTTGGAAGGGAAAGGAAAGGAAGAGAGAGCAATGTCTCTGAAGAATGCAAAGGAAAGGCACCGTTCTTTCCCGCAGCGCTGTGGTGTGCATGTTGCATGGGGCAGACAACTGGCCTGTTTCTATAAGCGCAGCTTTGTCTCTTCATCTCACCTCAACATCATCTTTTCCCAAACCTGCCTCCCTTCTTCTTATTCAGAACACTCCTGTCCCCTTGAGCCAATGCTCTTATCCTTGACCTGGGTTAGGGTTTATACTTTATTTGTTCTCTGCTGTTTCCAGATTCTGGTTCTGCTATTGTGACTGGGCAACTCCTCTTCTCTTGAAGTCTCAACCTGCTGCCTATACCCTGGCCCCTCATCCCTACCCAGTGCCTTCCAAGGCCTTCATGCTCTGCCTCTAGGTTGAGACCCCTTCTGCTCTCACTACCAGCTGTCATCCTCAGTGTCTTCAGTATTTATGTTACTGACCTTCCAGTACCTAAACTTCTCCTTTGCTTATTTTTCAGAGACAGGGTCTCTCTCTGTCTTCCAGGCTAACAGGAGTGGAGTGGTGCAATCATAGCTCACTGCAGCCTTGAACTCCTGGGCTTAAGCAATCCTGCCTCAGACTCCCAAGTAGCTGGCACTACAGGTATCCACCACCAAGCCTGACTAATTTACTTTTTTATTTGTAGAGATCCATCTCTATAAAAGATGGTCATGCTGTGTTACCTACTTTGGTCTCAAATTCCTGGGCTGAAGTGATACTCCCATCTCAGCCCCCAAAGTGCTGGGATGACAGGCACGAGCCACTGTGCCCTGTCCATCCCGAATTTCCGAATTTCTTCAGTCTCAAAGAGAGTCCTCTCTGCTCTTTCAGTCACCCATAGACACTCTTATTCTAGATCTTGTTACTGCTTAGGACCCTGCTGCTTATTATTTTACCAGCTATTTTGTGAATACCTTGAGGGTAGGAACATAGTTTAACTTGGATTTACTCATTTTTATCCCCTGACCCACCACTGAACATGGGATTTTGTACCTAGTGAGTGCCAGTGTACAATGAATGAATGGTGGCAGTGAATTCGAGGTTATAGAGCTAATGCTATGAAAAACATTGACATATATGTAACTTCCTATTCTCTAATTTCATGTTGAACAACAACCTTCCAATGGTGTGACAGTCAGCCAATCTCTAGGTCAGTCAGCCGATGTGCATGGTCATTTGCCATAATCATGGACACTCTACATCTTTTGAGCTCCCAGCTAACACTTTGGTGATTTTTCTCTTTGATATTTTCATCTTTGTACCCAGGTTCCAAGCCAGCCTTAACACTAATGACAGACGTGTGATCCAGTTTCCACCAGTGAAATGGGCCCCAAGACAAAGAAAGTCACATTCAGCATCCACCTTTCCAGAGAGAATGGCAGGAAGTAATGGGCTTTCAGGAGCAACAGAAGCAAAATACCTAACAGTGAAATCCTGTAGCCACCACAGCATGTCATGCGTGTGTCCACCGGGCAAGCTATGGTGCTGCATCCACAATGACAGTGAGACTGGCCTGTGAGTGATCCAGCGTCTGGGTTTACTTCTTAGCTGTAGGGTCTCTGAGCCTGATTCACTGGCTCTGAATTTCTGGATATTCTGTGAGTTTTGCATTATCTTTAATGATTTTCTTTTATGACCTAAACTAGATAGCGTAGGTTCTACTGTTTGCAACTGAAATTCCTGGCTTATGTGGGTGGGCATTTCTGTTTCTCACTGTGAGTTGAGAAGTGGCATTCTATCATACCTGTAATCTCAGCATTTCGGGAGGCTGAGGCAGGTAGATTGCTTGAGTCCAGAAGCTTGAGACCAGAATAGGCAACATAGTAAGACCCTGTCTTTATGGAAAACAAACAAACAAACAACAGAAAAATGAAGTGGCATTCTGGTTTTCCTGATTCTTGGCTGTTCTAGGACAGAGACAAGATCCACATTACTGAATCTGCAAAGCAGACAGTGTCAGGTCCTGGACCTGGATGGTGATGGCTTTTCCAAGGTTTCAAAGTGTTGTACTGGCTCGAGCATAGAAAGTCAACACTAAGATAAAAGTATGCTAAATTGCAGGGTCTTTATTGCTGGTGGCTAAGGAGGACTCACGTCTCTCCAACCCGTGTCCCTGAAAGGAGGGTGCTAAGACCTTTTATACTGGTAAAAATTATCTTGGGAGTGAGGGTGAGGGGCGGGGGTGGGGGTGAGGGGCTCCAGACATTCCGAGGGCTAGTGGATTCTGCAAATCACCTTCTGGGCGGAAATGAGGTGAGGGTGAGGGGATTCCGGACACTCCAGTGGGTTTCTGGGCGAAGATGAGCGTGAGGGGCTCTGGACATTCCGAGGGCCAGGGGACTTTTTTACATTCTGATTGTTACTTAAGTGGTTCACAAAAGCCAAGATTAGCATTCATTTACACATTGTCTGGGTAGGGTGGGGATCACAGTCCTTTATTACTTATTCACATTTGGGTTATAGAGAGCAGTTTCAACAGAAAGCTGAGGTATGGTTGAGGTATGCAGTTTATGGGGCTTTTTACCATGTCACATTCCCCCCTTGTTTTATTTACAGGAATTAAATCATTGATTCCTCTAACTGGTTAGTATTGTTTGTTTGTTCTAAGGACTCATATTGAGACCTTAATATTATTAATTTTATGGAGTCTACCCCAGATTTTATGAACTTGAGCAGTTGGTTTAGGAGGCAGGGGCCAAACATGAGACCCAGTAAGAGTAGGGCCAGATGTCCCACCAGGCCGGTGAGGAGGGAAGTGAGCCAACGGGACCTGGAAAACATTTTTTGATACTAACTTTCCGAAGCTTCTCGAAGTTGTTTTCTGGTTTTGAGATTCTGTCTGACCAGGGAGAAGCTCTCTTGGATGAGGCCTGACCTATTAGCATAGATGCAACATTGTTTGTTAAGGGCGGCACATAACCCCCCTTGCTTTAAGAATAGTAAATCTAGTCTTTGCCTATTTTGGAGGACTATTTCAGCTAAAGACTCAACCTGATCAGTGAGTTGGGAAATGGAGTTTTCTAAGTGGCTTAGGTCAGTATCTATGTGCCGAGAGAGAGTTTTAAAATTTTGGTCCCTAGTTATTAGAGCTGATATTCTAACTACAGTGGAGCCAGCAGTGCCTTAATCCAACCAGTAGGGGGATGACGATAGGGACTCGCTTTTATCGAGCAGTAATAATATCCGATGGGGTCAGGAGGTTAAGTCCCTGTTGGCCATCATAAATGTCAACTCTGGGGAGGATGTGTACCAGGGTGCAGAGTATGGGAGTGGAGCTGCTGAACTGGTATGTGGAAATGCAGTTGGTGAGGCTAAAAGTGCGGGCTAACCAAGTGGTATCTGGGTCCTGATGGTAAAGGTTTTTACTATTACATGTTACATCGTGGGAGACATTACAATAGTGCCCATAGGGAGAACTTGCAAGGGTGTAATTTGGGGAGTGGTAGCAGTGCCTATACCTTTCTATGTCTCCCAGGGTTAAATGGAGTGTGGATTGGGAGCATGAAGAATCGGACAGGTTGGCAGATAATTGGGAAGCCAACCCGGCATAAAATGGTGGTTGTGCGTTTAGACAGAGCCAACAGTCTTTTCCTAAATTTGGGTTAGATTTGTTGAGGAGGTGGTGAGCCGAGGACAACAAGGTTAACAGGGTTGTGTCCTCTTCAAGCTGAGTTGGAGTTGTAGGGGAAGATTGTCAAGGGGGGGTATTGATTATCTGGATGAGGGGGCTTTGTATTTTTAAGGGGGCCTCTTGTTGTATGACCTGGGCAATGGGTCCTATAGGGCGTTTGGGTCTGGGCAGGGTTATACGCTGGATGGTAAAGATGTTTCCCATGTCCCACCCACTCATATATACTCTGAGAACCCAGATTCACCCTGTTGTCCATCTACCATCTGGGGTAGTTACAGTTATTCTGAGTGGGTTACAAGACCTAGTGTAGCATGAGGATGGGGGAGAGTCTTGGTTAAAAGAGATGAAGGAATCTATGTTTTTGGTATATCCTGATATAGTGGAGATAGTTTCACAGCCCCAACGGGGGCAAAAGAATTCATTTAAGTCTCCACAGTTCTATCTTTTTTGTGGGGTGGGTCCTAGGCACAGATATAACCCCATGGTCTGGAGTTGTTGCTCTACCCCTAAACTGCTGCGCCCTGCTACACCTCCACTTGTTCTGAAATTTAGGTTGGGGCCCAGGAGGGCACAGAGGTCTAGGGAGAAGGTAATGGGGTTCTTTGGAATGTATTCCAGGGTTAAATTGACTAGGGTGGCTCCCTTCCTGGTTACGGAACTAACATATCCTCCAGTGGAGCCCTCGGTGATGACCCATTGATAGTAGGTGGGTTCCAATCGGGGGTTTGCTATAGGGATTTATAGCACAGATTAGGGTGGTGAGGGTGGTGACCGCGAAGAGTGCACAAGTCTTAGCTTTAGTGAGTCGGGGGATGAGTGTTTGATGCTCCATTGTCTTTCTGGTGGGGCATTCTTGACGTGATGTGAATCTAGGCCGTTAGTCCGTCCATCTTGAGTGCAGTGGGTGTAGTCAGGATAACCGTGTAGGGTCACTTCTAACAGAGAGTGAGGCCGGAGGTGACGAATCTTTTAATAAGGACAGAGTCTCCAGGCTGGAAGGGGTGTGTTGGCTGCTCTGCAAGGTCCAATGGGGTGGGACGGGTGTCCTTAATGAGCTGGTATATCTGGGATTGAATAGATTGGAGCACCTATAAAGACTTAAGGAGTATATAGTTATGGACTTCAGCATGCATGGTATCCACGGGTCTGGGGAGTAAGGGAGGGGGCCTACCGAACATGATTTCAAAAGGGGAGAAACCTTTTTGATAGGGTGTGCATCGGACGTGGAGGAGGACAAAAGGAAGCAGGCTGACCCAGTTTTCACCGGTCTCTAGGATAAACTTTGGCAGGGTTTGTTTTTGAGGTCTGGTTCATTTGTTTGACTTGCCCTGAACTCTGGGGACGATAGGCACGGTGTAATTTCCAGGCTACACCAGGGCCTTCACTAGGCCCTGAGAAATTTGTGCAGTAGAGGCAGGCCCATTTTCTGACCTCAGCATTGGAGGGAGGCCAAACCAAGGAACAAGGTCCTGTAATAGTTTTTTTGTGACCACCAAAGCAGTCTCAGACCTAGTGGGGAAGGCCTCGACCCAACCAGAGAACGTATCTATAAACACCAGGAGGTATTTATAGCCATTTGCTGGGGGGTTTAAATCTACCTCCCAGTGCTCCCCAGGGCTAGCCCCTCTGAGTCTCACTCCTACCTGGCTAGACCTGTTCCTGCCCGGATTTACTCGGGCACATACATCACACTGAGAAGTAATTTCCTTGATAAGTTCATGTAAGAGGGGAATGCAGTATTTGGCTTTTAGCAGCTCAGTTAGTTTGGTCTGTCTTAAGTGAGTGGCCTGGTATATGTCTTTAACTAGAGCCCGTCCTAGAACCTCAAGGACTACAATCTTTGTGTCCAGTAGAATCTACCATCCTGTGGAATCTTGTATACCCCCTTGTTCTTTAGCAAAATTTTCTTCATCAGGTGAATAAGGCAAGCCTGACCCTCAGTGAAAGAAATATTTGCTTGAAGTTTGTGGAGTAAGTCCTGTCCTAGGAGTGGGTACGGACACTCTGGAATGACTAAGAAGGAGTGGGTGACAGTGCCGTTCCCCATATCAACGAATTGGTTGGTGGTCCAAGGGCTTGTCGTGGTTTTTCCTGTGGCCCCCCTGGATAATTGTTTTTTACTGGATAGTCATCCTAGAGGCTGAGTAAGGACTGAGTGGGCTGCCCTGGTGTCGACTAGGAAGCTGACAGGTGTGCCCCCAATTTTTAAAGTGACCTTGGGCTCCTGGGGGCTTAATAAATAAGAGCCCCGGCCCCGTCAATCCTGGCTTTCTAAATTGAGAATGGCACTCGGTGGCTTTCCCTGAGCTGTTTCTTGCCTTCTCCTCTCCGGGCACTCGTTCTTCCCGTGGCCTATCTGTCAGTAGTACCTACACTGGTTGCGTCTTAGCCTGGGGTGGGGACCCCAGAGGTTCCCTGTCCCCGCAGGATAACTCAGGTTTCCTGAAGAGTTGTGATTACTGCTTTAGTAACTCTCTTATCCTGTCTGGCTTCTGAAGTGTCCCTATTGTAAAAAACCTTTTAGGCAATTTCTAGCAATTGGGACAAATTCATTCTCTGAAATCCCTCTAACTTCTGTAACTTTTTTTAAATATCTGGGGCTGACTGGGAAACGAAAGCCAGATTGATGGCCCGCTGATTTTCTGGAGCCTCAGGGTCAATAGGAGTGTAGGTGCAATAAGCATCCTGTAGATGCTCAAGGAAGGCAGCCGGCGACTCCTGCGGGCCCTGAGTTACAGTTCCTACCTTGGAGAGGTTAGTGGGCTTTCGGGCCACTTCCCTAATCCCTTCTAGGAGGTACCGGTGAAAATTGTTCAAAGCCTGTAGACTTGCCAAGGTGTTTGGGTCCCACTGGGACCGGGTGGAAGAGAAAGTTTCATTAATTTTCTCCTGGTGGTCCTCCACTGAGCCTCCCCGTGTTCCAACTATGGCCTTATAGGCCTCCTGTCTAATTCTGCCCCTTTCTTCTGCAGTAAACAGTATTAGGAGTAATTGTTGACAATCATCCCAGGTGGGGCGGTGGGTTAGTAAGTTAGATTCTAGGAGCCCTGTGAGTGCCTGGTGCCTTTCAGAAAAGGGGGGTTGTTAAGCCTTCCAATTGTATAAGTCACTGGAGGAGAAGGGGATGTGGATGAAGAAAGGGCGGCCCCGGCTACCTCCTTCCTTCCATTGAGGGCGCCTCTCAAAGGGGTAATACCTGGGGTGGGTATGGAGCCCTGTTACGGGTGTGGAGTGGGGACAAGGGCTGGCTACCAATGCTGTCTGGAGAGGGGTGCTGAGACCTCTGTCCAGAGGGTCTAAAATAAGGGGGAGGTAATTCTAGATCCTCTTCTGGGGCGGGGAGAATGGCCGGTGCAGTAGGGGCCTTCTTTGGGCCGGCTAACATGACCTGAAGCCCAGCCTGTTAAATGCAGTGCTTTAGCCATGGGGGAGGCTGTTGGACTGAACCTAACCATTGGTCGATGTATGGAAACTGGTCAGGGTATCCAGGAGTTTCTGCAACCATTTTCCATACAGCCTGGGTAATTTTTGGGTCTTAGGTCCCAGTATCTGGCCACCCAACTCTAAAAGACGGCCATTCTAGCTCACACAAAGAGCGGTGTTTTCCAGGGGTTAATTTCACCCCATATTGGCCTGAAAACCTAACCTTGAAGTTGGCCATCATGCATTGGACGGGGGTACAAGGCCGGGAGCTAGAGGACCCCATTTGTGGTTTTTTTTTTTAAATGCCAAATTTCCCCTAAGAGATTTCACTAATGTAAAACTGGCTTTACTGAGGATTTAAACCAACAACCTTGCAGTTGCAAATGCTGCACCCTGAGGCTGTGTGGCCTGCCTGAAAGCTGGGTGGGGCTGGTGGCCAGCAGAAAAAAAAAAAAAAATTTGTGTCACTTTAAAACGAAGCTCCCAGCTGCTGGGTTGGCTGCGAGTTCCCCACCCCTGCGGCTTTTTTTGTTGTTGTTGTTGCCTTGACACAGGGACCCTATAAAGCATTAAATTCCTCTCCTTATTTTTCTTATTTTTTTCTCTCTCTCTCCTACTTTTTCCACTCTCTTCTCTGTCTCCTCGCTCTCTCCCTATTTCTGTCTTTATTCTTTCCCCTCTTTCTCCACTCTCTTCTCTGTCTCCCCTCTCCTCTCTCCTACTTTCTCCACTCTCTTCTCTGTCTTCTGATAGTGACACGGGTCTTGTGGTTTTTGTAGTATTTCTAGTTTTGGCAGGCGTTATATTCATGTTTTGCCTTTTCTAGCACTGGTTTTAAAAGTGCTTCTACAGCTAAATCTTGTAAGGAAAGTATAATTAATTTAATGGGTCTGTCTTTTGTACGGGCCAGGGAATAGGTGGAAGGGGCCAAGAGTGCAGATAGGATTCCCTTAAGAAGCCCCAGAGGGGCCGGTAATAGGCCTTGTATAGGCTTAGTGCCACTCGGGCGTGGTCTTCTCTTAAATGACACCTGATACCTAGTGACCTTGGGAAAGTTGGAAAATGGCAAAACAAATGAACTAGGAGGTCTACAGGGTGTGAATTTTGAATCCATTATAGCATACAGAGTTGACAAGAGATTTGTTAGTCTGTTCTTATTAAGCCATGACACCCTACCTCCCAGCAGTCAGGGTGGTGTCAAAAAACTCAATAGGGGTGGGCTTCAGAGCACTGGCTATAACAACACTTAATATCTTTTTGAAAGAACAGACAATTATCTTGTTTCTACCCCCAACGGTCAAGAAGAGTTGGCACCTTTTTGTCCAGGAATTTATTTCCCAGGACAGAGAAAAAACTACACCCGAGACATCTCGGGCAGAATTCCCTTTTGGACATCAGCTAATGAAGGGAAAAGGAAATTATACCCAACATGGGCAGAAATACTCCTGTCCTGGGTGGGTGGGGGTGGCTGAGAGAACTTACAGGCCACAATGATTATAATAAGGAAGAAAACAGAGATAGGGCTAAAGCTATTTGTCACATGGCAGAGTCAAAAGAAGTGAGGTCTCAGTAGTAGAATAATAGGAGAAGGAGGGAAAACAGTGTTACTTCTAGGGCCATAAATTCAGTAAAGGTCCCCTGCAGCCAGTGGTCTGTTACCCACTGTAGAATATCTTCCACTCCAAGGGAAGCAGGCCTAAACTTCTGTATATTGGCCGACAGGAGTCTAACAAAACTGGTGAATCTACAATAAAGACAAAACCACATACAGGATTGACAGACAAAGGATGGGTGCCCCCCAGATGGGAGACCAGACTGACGCCTGCCAGGCCACGTCCCCAGAGGGATGTTTCAGAGCGTCTTGGCTAAGGTATACCCGTATAAACCCCGGGCCTGATCACTCCAGAATTTTTAGTCCTGAGGTGAATCACCGTTATGCCTTATGACGTCCCCGTGGAACTGCGGGTGAAGGCCCACACAAGCCCCGTAGCCTTGCAGCCATGGGACTACATATATACACATTCACTCTCTCACTCAACTGAGGTTATGGAAAACAAACAAAAACTAAATTACCCGAGCCTCCAGTCAGGTAACCTGAGCCTCCAGTGACGTCTCATGGTAGGCTTGCCTGGTCAGAGTTGCAGTGACTGCGTCTGGTCCCCCGACTCAGGCCCCCTGATGGACCGGTCCCCAGACCTGACTTACCTCTGGAGGTTCCCAGGACCCTAAGGAATTTCAGGTGAATATCGCTGGGTAGTTGCTTATCCTCCACGGGGCTGGAACTCTGGGGCCCTGGAACAGTTCAGGGGGCGCCTCCCCTAGAGGTCCCTGAGGTGGGGAGCGGCTGCCCGGGTGAGACTCTGAGATGGCTTTTGTCTGGTGATGGACAAAGATAAATCTCGGTGGAACCTCCAAAATGTTGTACGGGCCCGAGCATAGAAAGTCAACACTAAGATAAAAGTATGCCAAATTGCTGGGTCTTTATTGCTGGCGGCCACGGAGGACTCATGTCTCTCCAAACTGTGGCCCCGAAAGGAGGGTGCCAAGACCTTTTATACCCGTAAAAATTACCTTGGGAGTGAGGGTGAGGGGCAGGGGTGGGGGTGAGGGGATCCAGACATTCCGAGGGCCAGGGGACTATTTGACATTCTGATTGTTACTTAAGTGGTTCACAAAAGCTAAGATTAGCATTCATTTACACATTGTCTGGGTAGGGTGGGGATCACAGTCCTTTATTACTTACTCACATTTGGGTTATAGAGAGCAGTTTTAACAGAAAGCCGAGGTATGGTTGAGGTATGCAGTTTATGGGGCTTTTTACCATGTCACAAAAGTGGCAGATATTCCAACGCCATTGGAGACGTGCCTGCATGACAATCTGGCTTTCTGTAGGCAGCACTCTGAGCTTTGCTGTATTTCACACTGATTTTCCATTTACAATCACATCATGCAGTGATTATAATTTAGAGGGTCACATTTCTGTAGGAATCATGCTGGTCTTTGTTTCAATCTTCTTGGCCTTTTTTTTTTTTTTTTTTTTTCTGAGACAGAGTTTTACTCTGTTGCCCAAGCTGGAGTGCAGTGGCATAATCTCAGCTCATTGCATCCTCCGCCTCCCAAATTCAAGTGATTCTCCTGCCTCAGCCTCCCAAGTAGCTGGGACTACAGGCATGCACCACCACACCCAGCTAATTTTTATATTTTTAGTAGAGACAGGGTTTCACTACGTTGGCCAGGCTGGTCCCAAACTCCTGACCTTAGGTGATCCACCACCTCGGCTTCCCAAAGTGCTGGGATTACAGGCGTGAGCCACCATGCCTGACCTCTTCTTCGCTTTTATACTGCTTTGATGGTTTCATTACCCCATTCAGAAACTCATAATGGCTTCCTGTTGTCTATGGTCAAACTTCAGACCTCAAACTCTGGCATCCTGTGACATAATAAAAGCCCCATAAAACTGCATACCTCAACCATACCTCTGCTTTCTGTTGAAACTGCTCTCTGTAACCCTAATATGACAGGTAAGCAGTCCAAACCCACACCATGTTGGCCCCTGTGACTTGTAATAAGTAATTAAGGTCTGTGATTTCTACCCTACCCAGACAATGTATAAACAAATGCTAATCTTGACTTTTGTGAACCACTTAAGTAACAATCAGAATGTCAAAAAGTCCCCTGGCCCTCGGAGAGTCTGGAGCCCCTCACCCTCATCTTCACCCAGGAATCCACTGGAAGGTCCAGAGCCCCACACCCTCATCTCCGCCCAGGAGGTGATTAACAGAATCCACTAGCCCTCAGAACCTCTGAAGCCTCTCATCCCGACCCCTGCCCCTCACCCTCACTCCCGAGGGTTTTACAGGTATAAAAGGTCTTGATACCCTCTTTTCTGGGCCACGGGTTGGAGAGACACGAGTCCTCCGTGGCCACTGGCAATAAAGACCCTGCAATTTGGCATACTGTTGTCTTGGTGTTGACTTTCCATGCTCGGGCCAGTACAACAATTCCAAGCTTTCCACATCATGGTTTCCCTTTTCAGCTGTATTTCCCAATACTCTTATACCACTACCAAAGTGCAACATTTGCTTTTCCATTTCATTAAGAAAAAATCTGGCTGTTGATCATTATATTCTCTCTACCTGAAGGAATCTGTCCTATGGCTCTGTCTACCAGAATCTTACTCATCATTCGGCACTCCATTCAGATTCCAATTCTTCAGTGAAGCCTACCTAATGTCCTTCTCCAGAAATATTTGCTTTATCTTCTGAAATCTCTGCCACTGAGAGCATCTGTTCCATTATGACTTGCAGAAGAATTAGTTTGTCACTTTACTCATCTTCCAAAGTCAATTGTGCACTCTTTTAGGACTGGACTATGTCTTACCACATATGTTTCTTTCTGCATCACTGAATATTGAGCCTTGAATGATTTTGGCTCCAAGAGGAATAGATGTCATCAGAGTCAAGGAATAAACAAATTAGTAAACCACTCACAATAGATACACTATCTGTCAAAATAGAAGAAAAATAGTTTTTTTAAAAAGGCAAATGATATCTGGAAGTTTCACTAGATCTTCAGGATTGGGGTGTCCTTGGATTGAAAGGACCACACACATCACAATTCTTTAGCAGCACAACTTATAAACCTCGATTGTGACACGTAGATCTATAGTATTGGAGAATATCATGCTTAAGCATTATGGTCTAATGGTAATCTGTGGGTGAGAGAGAAACTTTCTCCATCCTTTTACATATCCTTTCTCATGTAGACTCAGTAGTGGGTGGGGGTGTCTTCAGAAGAGTAGGAAGAACAGAAGTCTTAAGAATCCAAAGTCCTGGTTTCTTTAGTTTTGAATCTGCCTCAAACTAGCTGGTGACCTTGGGCTAGTGATTTATTCTCTCTGGGCCTTTGTTTCCTCATTTAAAAGCTGGGCCATAACAATGTTTCATATGATTGCTGACAAGTACAATTAATGTATAAACACCTTGGATGTAAAGGAGAGGAAGTTGGGGATAGAAGCCAGTGGTGAGGGCAGAGAGAAAGGGATTAATAAGAAGGTAAGAAAGACAATGGTACAACAGAAGCAGAAATTGGCTGAGAGGCACTGGAGGTGGAGGGACTCTAATTCAGCAGAAAGGCATCAGGGAGTCCTTCTGAAAGTGTTTCTCAGGGCTGTAGCAGAGACAGCTATTTGCCTACCAAAGCACCAAAGCTTTCATTCTCCTTTCGTCTTCACTATCAGATGCCCATATTGTTAGGGTTAGCCACCTTGGGAAGAGCAAGGGTTCTCAAGCCTGGATCTAGGGCCTAGGAAAGCACTTGCATTTTCTAGGCATTCTGCAGACCTTGGAGTATCAGTGCTGTTGAAAAAGCCTTGTGAACTTCCTTGTGAAAAATTAGTTTGGAACAGAGTTTCAACAACAGCATGAGGCTGGGGCCTCTTTAGCTTGAGATACTAAAAGATCTCTTTTTACCTATTATCTCCTGGGGAAATATTTTCCCTCCTTCCTCTTTCCCTCCCCTTCCCTGCCCCTCCTCTTCCCTTCCCTTCCTTCCTTATACAGTCAAGTAGTCAGTGTTAAGTAGCAGATAGCAATGCTAAGATGTTCTAAAAGATCTATCATAAAAAGAATTGAGTGTATCAGGGAGCCCAGGCTAGCACATTTTAATCTACACTCTCACCTGTCCTCATTGCTGCTGCAGCCTCTTCCTCCTCTTTTTCATTCCGATTATGAATTTTCACCATGCTGTTTATCCCAAATGAAGAAAGATTTTTAAACACCCAGGTACAGTCTCATCCCTGTGGTCCTGCTTTGTACCAGCCTGGCCCGGAACAGGGCAGAACATTTTCTCCTCATTATCACCTCATCACTCAGTTCCCCTTGTCTGAGTCAGGTCAGGAGGTGGGGCTCAGAGCTTAAGCGCAGGAGCTGAAGTGCTAATGAGGAGAAAATGTTCAAGCATGAACCCTGCCCTCTCATTCAGGCCCCATGGAAAATGGTAACACCGTGAGCTCATCTTTCTTCTTACTCCTAAGTTCAAATGGATTTTAATGCAGCTTTTTCCTGGAGTAAGTAGAATGTAGAGTGCTTTAGTTTTAAGCTATAAATTGTCTGTTCCAGGGAAAAGAAAATTAATCAAATATTAGATTGATGCAGAAGGTTATTTTCTCTCTACCAAAAGAAAGACATCATTTATGTGGGGGAGGGAAATATTTTAGAGAACAAGGCAGAGCATTCAATCTGGTATATAAACCAAGTTTCTGTTAAACAACATTGGTGGGACACCTGCTATGTGACAAGCTTTAGGCTAATGATAAGAATATTTATACAAATAAATATTTAACACAAGAACCATCAGCTTGGAGCCTTTGTGATGGTTTTACTCTTTGTGGACTAACCTGAACCCCTTTTCCCAGGTGCCTTTTCTGGGACACTTCTGGGTTAGGAGTGACTGCAAGAGAAATCTGCCCGAGATTTGGAAGGTGAGACAGAACCTCAGCAGGTCTGCTCTGGAGGTAGGGTAGGGGACCAGGCGCTGCTGCAGCGTATGCACTCCTGACTGATCTGCCACTCACCTTGTCAGCATGGGGCAGCAGCGAAGCTGCAGGTCCTCGGAATCCCACACAATCTCCTCTTTCAGTCTCCTGAACCAGACACAGGTATGTCTTTGTGGCAAGGGAACCTGCATCTTTGAGGTAGAGGTGATGAGAGACAGGTGGGTTGCAGTTTGCCCAGTGGGTTCAGGTTTATGAATTCTATGTTTCCTCTATGTCCTCACTTCGCATCCTGACCACTGGCCCTGCTGACCCACCGCCACTGCCCAGGCTCTACCAGCTCCTCTTGGTGACTCTTCTCTGATGTCGCAGATATTCCCTTCAGGACTTCCACTTCACTGGTTTCTCCCACAGCTGTGCAAGGTGTAATCTATATAATAAATCCCTTGTTCACATCACTCATATGGCATTGGTTTGGGGACTGACAGCAGCTTGGAGTCCCATGGAGACTAGTTGTGAAAAATTGAAGGACAGTCAGTAAGCTGATTTTGAAGGCTGGAGAAAGGGCAACTCAAGTATGTGGTGATGAAAAGTTTGGGGACACAGTTGTATTAGTCTGCTCTCATGATGCTAATAAAGACATACCCAAGCCTAGGTAATTTATAAAGGAAAGAGTTTTCATCAAGTCACAGTTCTGCATGTCTGGGGAGGCCTCACAATCATGGTGGTGCAAGTCACATCTTACATGGCATCAGGGAAAAGAGAGCTTGTGCAGGGGAACTCCTTTTATAAAATCATCAGATCTCAAGAGACTTATTCACTATCATGAGAATAGCATGGGAAAGACCCACCCCCGTATTCAATTACCTTCCACTGGGTCCCTCCCATCACACGTGAAAATTGTGGGAGCTACAATTCAAGATGAGTTTTGAGTGAGGACATAGCTAAACCATACCAATAGTTAACTAGAATAATGTAAACAGTAGCAAATGTATCTAGTGAACTGGTAGATATGGTTAAGAAGATTTCTAGGAAGAATATGGAAAGTGCCAACTGGTTTCTTTTAGTAATGTATGATCAGGTAGAGATAGAGATGAGTTAAAAAGGAGACTGTTATGTTTTCAAGCAAAGTTTAGGAGCAATATAGAGGGCCCAGTCAAAAGCCAGCAAAGGGACTTCAAAGCGAGAAATGGTGTCAGGGAAAAGATCAAACTCCGGGCAGTAAAACAAGGTCTTAGAGTAAAATAAAAGTCAGGGGTGTGCCTGTGAAAGCTGTTGTTCAGAACTCTGAAGTACAGAATTAATTGTGTGTCTCGTAGACATCAGGTAGACAATAGTACTTCTAACAATTGTAGTGGTGTGCCTCTTACACATGTGCCTGACAGCAGAACTTCTAAGACTTTGAAGGGCATTTTCCTGCAGTGGCCTCACACCTGGCACAAGATAGAACAGGGCCTATCTCAGAAAGAAATCCAGATGTGGCATTTGCCCAGTGGAGTGGAATATAGTTTGATACATAAAAAACATATTTTAAAAGGAATTGTATTAAATTGAAGTGAAATGAACAGAGATCATTCAAAATGAAAAGAGGCCTGTGGGTCTTTCAACTTCTGCTGGCAGGAAGTAGGCTGAGAAAGCCACTCAGCTGTAGATGCAACCCATCTCTGATGGAAAAGGAAGGCCACCTGAGCAGAAGCTGAGCGCCTAGAGGGCGGAGTCAAGAGCGGCTTTATGGGCTTACAGCCTTCCCCTGCCGGGACCATGAGGATGTTCAGCCTGTTCAGGAGAGCCAGGAAGTACTGCAGGCTTAATGACCTGAAAGGCAACCCTCAAATGATAAGGAGCAGGATTCGGTGATAAATATGCCAGCTTCCATTTTTCCCGGTAAGCATATTATTCATGGTTTCTCAAGGGCTTCCCTGTGGGAATGAGCCTCAGTTGTAGAAAGTAGTTACCTCCTTTTTAACTCACTTCATTGGCTTTTCTCTTTTGCTACCTCACTTTCACCATTTCTTTTTCTTTTTTCTTTTTTTTCTGAGATGGAGTCTCGCTCTGCAGTCCAGGCTGGAGTGCAGTGGAGCGATGTTGGCTCACTGCAACCTCGGCTTCCCAGGTTCCGGTTCAAGAAATTTCCCTACCTCAGCCTTCCAAGTAGCTGGGATTACAGGCATGAACCATAATGCCCAGCTAATTTTTGTATTTTTAGTAGAGACAGGGTTTCACCATGTTGGCCAGTCTGGTCTTGAACTCCTAACCTTGTGATCCGCCCACCTCGGCCTCCAAAAGTGTTGGGATTATAGGCGTGAGCCACTGTACCCAGCCTCACCATTTCTTTATTTGTGCTTCCTAAGGACAATCCCCCCAATAGGCCACCTGCAGCCTTATCCTTATGTTAGGGTTTGTCTTTGAGAAATCTAAATTGAGACCAGGAGGAAATGATTACCTCTGACTAGGAGTGTGTGAGGATGCATCTGAGAAGGGTTCTCAAGGATTAGGAAACTTTTACCATGCCAGCAGGATGGGCGGGGTGGGGTTGGCTTTGGTAGTAGAGGAATAGCGTGTGTCAGTGCCTGGAGGTGAGAGAAGGGATGCTCAATTTGGAGTACCATTAGCTGCCTATACTGCTAGCCCATATACATACTTTGTGTGAAATAGACAAATATATCACTTTCCAGGTGAATTCAGCTTCATGAGCATGGAGTGCATTTGTCTGAATTAGAAAAAGTTCCTTAGAAAGAAATGGGCATCCTTTTCTCCAGAAGCTGCAGCCTGTTACCAGAAATCAAGGCTTGGCAAGTGGAGATGGGTGGGATTTTCATTTCCTCTTGACTCTTGGCCCAGTCCCCGTGTATGATGTCAGGAGATGGGATGGGATAGGTAGGCAGAGCTGATATGAGATGGGCTTATGGGTCATGCCAAGAGAGGCATCCTCTAAGTAATGGGGATCTGTGGAAATGTTTCAAGGGGGTGACTCGCATAACCAGATTTGTGTTTTAAGAAGGTTATTGTATCTGATGAGGATAAAGGAGCTTTGGTTTGGGGTCGGCACTGAAGGCAATGGTGATAAGGGCTTGAAATCAGTAATCTTTTTGGGGATGGGAAGGAATGGACATACTTTGTAGAAATGGGGAAGGTTCAGTGAGTAGGCATTGGTGACTGACTGGTCAGGGGTGGGGAGCAGGGATAAAGGGAAATGTAACTGACATTTTCAACAAAGGCATTCACTTCAAATTTCACTTGATCCCTACATTTCCCAGCCTCTGGCAGTTAGGTGGGTTTTTGAGGCTAAGTCTGCCTTATGGGCTATAGTTAGAAGTGATGTATAAAATATTTATCAACCTTCCACTGATCTATGATGAACACGTAGTTAAATGAAAAATAAACCATTTCAGTGAAGCCACTGTGGTTTGCTATCACAGCATAGCCTAGACTATCCTGAGTGACCAGGAGTCCTTAGGATGATGAGGCACATACAGAATAAAGACTCAAATAATCAAGGCAAGCCAGTGGCCCAAAGATGGGGAGAGACAGCTGCTGGATGCAGACAGGGGGAGGTGAGTGAGTAGAGAGCTAGGTCTAAGGTTCCTGCAGTAGGGGTAAGGAGAAGGAAGCTCACTGGGATACACTACACTCCAGTAGGAAAACCGAGCTTAACATATGGGTGGCTACAAGACTCTAGAAGGTAACAGAGAACTAAAAAATAGAGCATCAGCCTGATACATTTGCCACGATAAAGACAATTGGAATGAACGTGAATCCCATGCAAATTAGGGTAGATTTGTCATGACTAGGTCAGACATTTAAAATTTCTTCCAGGTCATCTATCCCATATCCCCAAAATGATAAATGCCTCCATAAATAAAACGATAAATGCCCTCGTAGGCCAGTGGTAGAAAGGGATACTAGTGCTCAGATGCAGGAAGGCTTAGAATAGAGTGATTCTTTTTAATGCACCTTTTATTCCTTCTCCCCATCACCAGACCTCCCCTCAACATGAGTACATGCACAACATACACAGGCACATAATCGCACGCACCCACACTCTTCTTCCACTTCCTCCACCTCCTTGTCAGGAACACAGAGCTCCAGCCATAAAAGAGCTCAGAGAGCCATGTCTTGAATTGCTTCAGTCATGCGAGGAATCACTTTGTAAGAAAGCACAGAAAGGCAGCAGATTTCCTCTGAAGGGGCATGTTGGCTAATCGGATGTTAACAGAAGAGTCTCCAGGATTTGTAATCTGTGTGTTTATTTTTTTTAGCGCCTGGATGTATGGCTGCATCGGTGCTAACTTTCCTCACTTGGGATGTCTCTCATCTTCATTCCCACTCCTGTAAATATCTGAGCATCCGGCTCCCCAGTGCTATGGAGGCTATTAAATTAGTCTAGAC